CGAATTGCAGACACTCAAAAAATAGTCAGTTTTAGGTAAAAATAGTCTTTTTACCTAACAAGGGCATGGGGTTAATTAAAAGGACTCCGGCCACATTCACCTAAGCACACACATGCTCGCACAATGAACCCTTATCCTTCGACCATTCCCAGACTTTTCGCATTAAGCACTACCAAACATGTTTGATGCAAAAGTAGAGGGTAACATTTTAAGTATATATATAATGTGTTGCAGTTATTTATGACTGGAAAAAAGGCAACTGTGTGAAATTAATACATCATTTGTCCATACTCTGCTACAAGTACTCTAGCTATTCTTCGAGTCTACGTTAAACGTGGCGAGGATCTCCATCCGACCAACGGACTCTCAGGTCCACCTAGGTTCTGTAAACTTGCTTTGAATTCACAAAGCTCCGTACGCATAATCTTTGCAAAATAACTAAGACTCTTTTCCGTTTATCCTTGTGACACTGTATATGTAAATAGTCCAGTGGTTATCTTAGACAATGGGGTATATGCATCGCTTTACCGACTTTGATAGTATTGTTCTCTAGACTTCGAGTTTTCCTTCACAGTAGCTTAAGGTAAATTGTGCTTTCTTGATCTGAATGGAATGAAGTTATTGTGGGCAGCATCTTAAGATGCGCAGCATCGCCCAGTCTAATCTGATTTTCACGTCAGAATTGCAAGGAGGGACTCAATCGTTAAACGTTATCTGCAGTGCTTTGAACATTGATTTATTGACTGTATGCATAAAGTTATGAAGAAGGCGTAGCATGAGATGCGGTCACCTTCAACACTTGACGTTGCGAAATTGCAGTGGAACGTGGAAATATCAGGTCTTCTTATAAATTTCTTAATTCTTCTGCTTGTTTTATCTATGTGTATGCTTATTGACATTATCTACCCACTATCTTATTCTACATATTGACTTCGAATCAGATAAGTTCCGTGAAACGATTAGATATGGTTGCTTCGTGTTCGTAGATTTTGTGTCGGGTGTCACTTTTACTGGCCTTAGGTGTATCATTGATAAACCATGTAATCACTCAAGTGCGCAAAAGATATATGATTTGGTTCTTAATACAAAATACTTGAGAAACTAGTTGGGAATAAAATTGGTTAAGTATCAAACTGCAATGGTACTAACTCTTCTTACCATTTAAAGTATATTAATAAATTAATCGGGAGATTTTCACCCGACGGTATAATAACACTGATGTGCGAATGTAAAACAGAGGAGGGATCACCGGTGTTATCTTAGCAAGTGTTGCAATTCCCCAAGGGTTTGCTGGGCTTTTGACAGTTCAACAACGATAATGACCAGGAATAAGGACAGTGAACCTGAATGAGATGACGCGCCCTCGTCCACACTCAGAAACCGAGGATACTCCAAAACGATCCAGGACCACGTATGCAGTGACACTGAAGTGCTCACTTCTTCACATCGGCAGTGCATTAAGTTTATCGCTCAAACCCTGGGGAAAATTGTGCATTGGATATGAAAAACAGCACGAAAGATATGGAGCCGGTATGTTCCTTCATGGAAATCAACGAACTATAGAATGCAAGATGCACAGACTTGTGTTACAGTAGTGGCTAGCAGGGATTGCTTTCTGTAACTTACCAGGAGGACCAAGAGCTCGTGTCCGTAACCATTCTTTCTCTTCCGGCCACAAATCTTTCGCTACAAAAGAAAACATGGAATACAGTGTACTCGGTTGATGTATAAGGAGTTGTCTTTGTTTGGAGAGCGCATAAGAAATAGTCCAAGTGCTTTGAGGGGGGACGTGTAGAAGCTTTCAGCCCCGCCCCTGATCATAATCATCCCACAAGCATTTCGATTTTTGTGCTTTTATTAACTATCTGATAAAAGGCTTTTTTTAAGTTGTATAATAATCAACTATAAACATGTGATTCGTGATTTGAATACAGCACGGTAAAGCTTGGGAAAACGGCTAAGTGTCCCATCTTTGTTTAGAATTAGCAGCAATGTTTAATAATAAAGCTTATGATGGATTATACATCGAGACACTAGACTGCGAGTCTCTCCTGCCCATACAGTCAATCTTCTGCTATAGTGCACCTTTGAAAAGTCGTAATTAGGAGCATGTTTCTACTTTTTTAGCAAACCGAAACCAGCAATTTATGTAACAATTTAGGTTTTAACTCTGTGTGCCTAGAGCCTAGGCTCGGATACCACTGTTGCAATTCCCCAAGGTGACGCCCGGGCGTGGGTAGCTAAGTTCTGTGAATAACGGTAACGTTTCAGTAAATTAGCCCACATGCACCAAATTGTCTCATTTACAGCAGGTCTTCCGAATTCCGACAACCATACAGGTTAATTAGTGAAACGGTCCGACGATGGATGTGCGTTTTCTGTAGTTACCATTTTGAACATATTAGTTTGCTCATTTTTGATCGTTAAGAGCAACAACTGATCAAGTTCTTTGGCGCAACCAAAAGATATTACTCAACACCAAGTTTGGGCCAGAGCACCACACACCATACCAGATGAGCTGTTACGCCACAGTAGCTCTTGCATGTTCTTTTTAGAATGTGAAATGATGGTTTATTCGGACAATTTAAACAAGTCAAAGACCCTATCGCACTGAAAAATCTTGACATATATGTGAAGTTCCGTACGACGTTGGCTATAGTAAAAACATGTGTTCGCTTCATGGGTGAATTTGTTACAATGAATCCTATGGAAATTAAAAGACACCGATGGGGGCCATCTTCCTCTTTCGTTTCGTGATTGATCCTTCGAAGAGAGTGAAACATATTGTTTTACCTCGAGGTAAAACTGTGTGAGTTGCTTACTTGTCATTCGGATGTGATTATTTTTCAAGATTTTTCCCACATATGTAGGATGAATGCTGCACCGGATCACGTGATACCCCTAATCTGAGGCTTGTCCAAATGGCTTCACCAATTGAATGTTTCTGATGACTCACACTTTTTTCCGTCTCGTCATATCCTTAGGGCCCTTCTTCGTCAGGTTCAGGTTTTCCATCATTTGTCTTTACAGGTTTTTAACCTTTACGACATACATCAAGGAGTATTCTAAACCGTATTCCTTGTAAAATATATGGCATTTCCCAATTTGAACTCTAGTTTCTGAACGCGAAAACCGTGTGCTTCGCACATGATGTTAAGCCTCAGTTCGTGGTCTCACAAACTTGGAAGCAATTCGTTCAGTGGGTAGTACAAAACCCACCCAAACAGCCAGACTGCACTTTTATTAGATCCGAAAGCGTGTCTCGAAAATGGCCAAAGGACCGGCGGTGAGAAACACTACAGATAGAGCACGTTGGTCAAGATCTCAAAGACCGCGGATTAAAACAAACATCAACAAGAAACTGAGTCAGTATGCGTCTGTACATGTGTGTCTGACGCAAACACGGGTAAAATTCAGGGAGGGGATAATTGGTACAATTTGTAGTAGCTCAGTTATGCTTGTAGTCCTGGTGTACCCATAGGCGAAAACACAAACACGTTGACTCAATTTTCAATTTAGGATAATTCGTATCCATGATCTTTGCAAACTTTTTCGACGTGCTATTTGTGGGTTGTTTCTTGTTGTCGGTAGTTCGATCGATTTGAAAACATCCTTTCTGATTGCTTACATTGCAGTCCGGTTGTCAAAACGTGTCTTCGCGCTATTAACTAAATGAATTATTGCCAAGGCAGAAGTAACGACTTAAAAATTCACGGAAACATTATAACTTTTGATGGATTATTCCAGTCCTTTTGAGAGTAACTTCCACATTCATGCGGTTCAGTATCTATCATTTTTCTTCCTCCAAATTATAAACTTCTAATCATGTGTTGTTATTGCTAAAAGAATAACTATAGGGGAAGAATTTCCTACCCCTACCCCTAAGTCATTACGTATGGCTTAGTTCATTCCAACAACTGTCTTACAATCATTTTAGGCCATTCCACTTTCAAATTCATTTTAGATGATGGCAAGTATTTTGAGACTTGATTGAACGCTCTGGGTTTCATTAACCCATGATATTTTTATCGCTACAGAGTTATGCACTTTGACCGCTGACTTCGGAATTCGCATATAAGTTAATCGTTTGCTTAGGTTTTCTATGTGATATCCATTATACTGGAATCACTCGTAGAAGATTGGCATTGCTGCGGTTAGATTTTCTATAAAGAGCAAAACAATTGAAGCCTTGCTGACGTCCAGAGTGATTATTATTACCAAGTGAATTAATATTATTATTATTATTACGAATTACAATTATTGTTAGAAAAGACACATTTTATTGTGAAAACAAGACTTTATAGTGCAAAAGAATTCTTCTTCTCATATGACTTGATTTACTGCTGTTGTTACTGTTTGTGGTTTTATTGATGTTAGTAACTGGCGTTATCAGACGAGCATAATGTAAATGACAAATCGTCACACGTTTTTGACGTTTTCATTCCGCCGGTGTGGTTCGGGTTTTTTTATCATAGAATCACATGAAACAAAATCGATCAACTGAAACAAATCGTGCTTCATTCCTTCATGTACAGGTCAAACGAAGAGCGAACATGCTTCGTCCACCCACAGGGGTGCGGATACGAAGCTGACGACCAACTATAGACCAGTAAGCCAACTATCAGTGGTGCTAAGGGTTATGAAGCGGATCCTCAGGGATAGGATGGCCAGCTGCCTCACAGACGGTGGGCGGTTGAATGCACAGCACGGTTTTCTGAAATTGCTTTTGGAACCTCGTAACAGAAATACCAGATAGACCAGAACGATTCAAACTCTGCCATCTAGACTTCAGTAAGACTTTTACATTCGTAAGAGAATCAGTTGACTGGGCGTTCGTTCCCCATTAAGGTGGAGAGGCCCGATCAAGCTACTGTCTGCGTCTAGTGGTGTGCCCCATTGTTAAACCTTTTGTCCATTACTGTTTATAGTATTCATCAACAACCTAGACCCCGTTTAGTGAACTCATCTTTCGTATTTTTCGTTGAAAACTTTAAACTTCTTGGCTCGCAACAGGAGGTATAACTTCAAATAAACCTTGACGCGGTACAAGCATGGTCCACTGAACGAGGCCTCCTATTGAGCTCTCTCAAGTGCAAGGTCCTGCTATCTGGGAGAAGTCTGGGTTTCAGGTAGGGTATGGGAGGCCATCAGTAAACTGCAAGAGATCAGGAACCCAGGGGATGCCATGAGCTCCGTTTTCTCCTCCACTAGCCAGTGCTTAGCTGACGCTCATATGACCAACAAAGCGCTGTTCAGCCTAACGCGAACTGTGGCGTACTAAAACCCTGAGGTCCTATCCCTTCTACCACATTAATGCGGTTCACTGACTTCAACTACCTCTTCCTCAACCTCTTTCCTAACCTCTACCTCCTCTACTTCCCCAAACCCAGGTGCCTTCCCTAACCACCATGTATGATACTGACGTTTCGCAACACACCATCGAACCCTTAATCTTTATTGATCAATTTCCTTCTCCCATGCTGATCTTTAACCCTGGACAACAAAGAGAAGAGGGCTGAGAACAGTTGCTTTTAACCCGGACAATACATCGGACACAAACTGTCACTCTGAGGAACCATTAGACGTGCGGTTTCCTTTTACAAGACCACATTCGCTTGCTTTCACATGGAATCAGTACCAAAAATGTCGCAGTGCTGTGGTGACCGCAAGCTCACTGCCAAAAGAAACGAGACTACCGTTGGCTCCGTCACAAGTCCTGAAAACTCAGGAAGCACTGGACAACTGTTTCGACCTGATTCGACCAGCAGTGCACGTCAGTGACTCATTACATGACTGAACCCTGGATCTCACAAGTAGAATGGAATTATAGCATCCTCTTGGCAAACTGACAAGTGATCAGGCTGTTTTTCATTTTTGTATCTACTCGCATATAATACGAATGTGACCGCATATATAGTAATGATGGGGCAGTGTGAGCGTGTTTACTTTACTCACACAAATCATTACGTATACTCTTTATTTTCATCGGTAGTATAAGAACCTGGACCCGTGCATGCCGATGAACAAACCTACGATGCATGGTTTTGGGATTCACTGATCAGTGAACTGGTTTAGAAACAAAGCTAACGCGGCTGCAACTCATAGGTGGGGATCAACCGCCAATCCAATTGAATCAGCAGCACAACCCATTCACAATGACGGGACAGCCCAGAAGAGGTCAAAGGTCACTTGTCACCCTTCGTTTATCGAGCTCTCTTTGATAAAGTAACCTGACCATATACACCTCTTAGGAACAAACTCTCTGAACAACAACAGTCACTGGAATGTTGATCTATCCCTAAGTGAGCGGCGAACCAAAGTCTTCTAAAAATATGTGAGCGAAATATTGTCATTGGTTATACACCTACAAGTTACCGATTTCAACAATCTAATAGTAATTCCGAACAATAATTTTCAAACACAAGTTCCTCAGAGAAAAAAACTATTTGTCTGCTGACCCACCTAGTGGAGTTATATATATTGCAATAAGTAGTGCATGAATGACAGGAAAAGTTTCCCTGGAAGCACAAGACCTGTTCCCCGTGTCTTGCCGCTCATCAGGCATGCGTAGCTGGCCGTCTTTTGCCTTTTCATTCATATACTTGTATCAAGGGAAGGTATTTTCACCATACGTATATGAATAAAAAGGCAAACGACTACCGGATACACATGCCTGACGATGATGCCCTATAATTGGTGAGATAACTTGAACAATGGTGGTCAGCAGTCCTATTGTGGAAAAGAATGGTTGCCCATCCACATTTACCAATATTTTTGACCATTTGTCGTTCCTATGGTTCAATAAAATGCAGAATTGGATGATCAACTGATGACTTTGAATGGGACAGTGTAACTATGTGAGAACATCTATGTTCATTGGATAGTTAATGGACGTTCAACTAAAACAATTGGGCATTTTAACTGGTCAAAGAGGTTGACCCCAACGTTAATCATCGTTCACTCATCGACCCCGGGATTTAGTTCGTAAAATATAGGTGGCATTTACCCGTGCAATAGCAAGATTATCTGGCAGCAACGGTGAATATGGGGTGATGTGGCCTGAACGTGGTCCAATGGAAAGAAGCACCGTAATTCTGCGTGTCTACTGTTCAGACTTAACGTTCCGACTAAACATAAACAACTCCGATTACGAGCGAGTAGAAAAGGAGTTATTTTTGTCGGTTAGTTGGTAAATTTCTTAATACTTAGTAAACACGATGTTTACTTCGGTCTTGTGCGTAATACGGAGCGTTCAAAATACGTCGTTTCTTTGCGTAGGACTGCTGATGGGACCCAATCGGATCAAAAAAGATGTACAGTACTTCCATAACTCTCATGTAGTAATCTTAACAATGAGCTCATTTAAGAAAACCTGTGTCAATGTTATCGATCATATCATCGCATCTGGACTTGCCATATCGAAACTTGAGTTCCATTTGCCAAATCAAGTCAACAGGAAACGAGATATCAAACTCACGTTTACTTAGCATAGCACGTTGTTTTCTTTCCTCGTTGGCCAGAAATTTGATTCGTTCTGGAATCGGATGATAAGACGATTGATGCGGAATACTCTCGATCAGGAACAAACAGAATAAGCAATAATTCGGCTTGCTCGGATTGGTGCATCACAAGTGCTTGGGAGTTTTGAGTTGTGTAGCATTCACATATTACAATTTTTTATCAGAAAAAAGAACTTTTCACTCGGCACCGGTGACTTTTCGGTTGCTATTGAAGTCACACAATAGAGCATGTAGTATACAGTAAAAGGGATCATAGTAACAGAAAAACGTGAACAAACAAATATCTAACATGGAATTGAAACATTTTGATTTCCGATAGATTGGAACGGGAGCTGGAATAGGTATATAATAGGAAAAAATATTGGTATCATTACTGTTGGAGCACTTTCTGCAACACTTTGTTGTGTAGGAGTAAGTGTTTTGCACGGTTGCTCTAATCAGTTACCTTCAAGTGTATACTACTGCACTACCTGACTCTTTTGGCCCATTTTCCCGCAAAGTCCTTGGATGAACATGGGCCGTCCGTCCGCGGCATTCTATTCTCTATTCAGCTGAAGTCTAGCGTTATGCACACAATGTGTTCACCCTGAAAAGCTTTAGACTTGTGACTTTACTAGAAATCTGACTCGTTGGTCGTCTGTCTATTTTTACAACTAAATACAACAAACCAATGTATGACACACGTTTTCTGATCACTTTATCAAGAAATACGGACTATTCTACGATGCCCTGCTATCCCCCATCTTCCAATTGTTTATTTGATCTTTCAGAGTCCTATTACTCAGTATGGTTTAAACATTCCGACTACTTGTGTATGCCGTTTCTTGTCCTTCTGGTTTCACAAAATTCCATGCAACGATCTCTTCTTCAACCCAAACTGAGTTAAAACGAAAACCCATTAGACGTTTCAGGTACTCTCATTATCTGTCTTCAAACAACTTTGTCCCACTGAATTTCATTTTTTTCTATATGGAGTTGGTTTTGTCATCGGGAGGATAATATTTAAATGAACGTCCCTCAACGATCACTGCTCAAGTAAGTTCTTGCGTCCATTCATTCCAAAGCACGAAATCCTACAGCATTGTTCTAAGTAGGCGGCTGTTTCCAAGCTTGGTTTTCCGTGCGTCCCTCGAGCTATTCTCTCAATTGTTCTAGGCTTTCTGAAACAAAATCTGCGCAGATTAGCAATCGCTAGTTGGGCATCTTCGGTCTCCATAGTGGCCATGTCTACTGAACATTTTATTCAACACAGACTGAAGTTTCCCTTGAAAATAAGTGTGTATTGCAGGGATTGTTGAAAAGAAATAAACCACAAATCCGTCATGACAACAAATCATCATTACAGAAAGCCTTGTCATATTGTAGCCTTTATTCATCCTGCCGCACCAAAGATTCATCACCCTTTCATTACACCTTTCCAACTTTAAATAAATTTGCTTGGCATGCATCAAGCCATAGGGGCCACACTTAAGCTACTAGGCCCCAGACTGTCATAAGGTCTGTCCACTCCGAATGGATCGACTTCTACACAAACAAACAAATAACCTAACCAGATCGAAACAGCTGTACAGTGCATCTCGGTTTTACACTTCACGCTCTATTTGCTCCACACCGAACGAATTCCCTTTTCTGAAACTGAATCAACTTCTGCATAACTCTTATGCGACGTTTTGAGTGAATCATCGGGTGACGAAGAATCTTTCGATGGTGGTGGGGTCTGACTTTGTCCCACAGGAACTTTAAGTTGATCGAATGAGTTTTCGACGAGAATGAACACATACAGTGGTAAATGACCTCCATCGGTTCAGGGAGAACGCTAGTCACACCGAAATAAAATGATAAATATGTCAACTTGCTCGACTTTAGCTTGTCATAAAGCATGGAAGCCTAGATTGTCTCGAATTTCACCAAATGAGATAGCTTGTATAATTCCGACATTAAAAGCACCCAGTACCATCCACAGCTATTGATATAAAACAGATGAAGACCAGTAAAGTTCGAATCGACTATCGGCCAAAGAATCAAGTCAAGGAATCGCTTTATACACCTCGACGGGTGGATATTCAGCAATCGGTGTCGAATTGAGTTTCAAGAAGACAGCAATGCTGAAATAACTAGGAGAGATTAGGAAATCCAATCTCAACATCATACTACCAGTAGCAAACTTTGCGGAATCGTAGCTGCAGCTGATCACAAAACTACGAAATACAACTGAACTTTCCACTGGATACCTGGCTACAAAATAGGTACCATGTTTATCTCTAAGATGTCTCACTTCGTTCGGGCGAGAATTCAAATTTCTTTCGGGGTTGAGATTTTGTATTTCCATACTGCGTATGAGTATGAAGAATAACTTCTATAATACGCTATATTGCTATATTGCGCAAGGTCGGTTAACACAATAACAACTACGATAACGGTCGGTAGGAATTTGTCCTGACCAATTGAGATCAATTATCGCCGGATACGTTCATTTTGGTCGAAGACTCATTCGATCAGTTTAAAGTTCCCGTGGACAAACAGTCAGACCCCACCACTATCGAAAGATTTTTCGTCACCCGGTGATTCACCCTAAATGTAATTTTTGTTTGTTTGTATAAAAGTTGGTCCATTCCTAGTGGACGGGCGTTGTTATAGTCTCGTATCTTGAGGGCTTAAGCCTCTATGGCCTGATGTATCCAAAGGGGCTTCACTGGAAGTTGGAAAGATACAAGGTGATTCACTAGAGCGAAAACACATCACATACGAGTAGACTTTTCAGCTGCTTTTCAGTTGCGTTTTTACCCGACGAAACTGTGTAAGATGGCAATAGGTGAACAAAGTTCACAACTCCAATGTCGGTCGATCCGGATAAAAGCAAACGCTCTTTGCATTTTTTCATCAAGCGTCAAGTCCATCTTGGAATGACTGACAATTGGGACTTGTTCATCACGTGCAGCGAAAGGACAGCACAAAGCCACTATCAACACAAGCGTTTCAAGAGGGTCGGTGGACGAGTATGTGATTTATGATCACCGGCTGCCACTTGACACAATTTCGTTTGATAAAAGTGCAACTGAACGGCAGTTAAAAATGAACTCATTAGAGTTTTCATCTTGTTAATTCGCTTGCTATAATGAACCGGTGATAGATATTTGTTGCGGCAGTTTGAGACGGCCCGGAAGGGATTCGAACATGGGCCATTCTTCCAAGTTGGCATTCTCATCTAGAATGAGTTTTCATCGTGAGGCCAACCGGGTTTAATAATGTTTGGTCGATCAGTTTAAAGCAGGAAATGATTAAGATGTGCGCCTTTACAGACAGATCGAAGTCGTGGGATATGACTTTCAGTTTACAAATATACATTCCAGTTTCCAATATGATATTTTGTATCGATAGCTGTGGACAAGGAGCATCCATTCCTAGTAGTTGAAATGTTACATCCCAGAATCCGAAACTATATGATGTATGCGTGCTCATGGTTGACATGAACAGGAGTGATTGCGTGTGCACCATAACGGGTCGAATGCGCGAATAGGTGCAAGCATATGGACATAACGGTCACGAACACAATAATGCCTCAGCTTACTAAAATGGATCTTTTATGGAGTCTTTATTTTGCATCTTCAATGCGTGAAATACTACTACTGCTACTGCCTGGAAAGTATTCTAAAGCAGCACTGTATTTATTGGAATTCTTCTATTAAGTGTCTCAACCGAATCTATGAAACCGAAACTTGCAGGAGTGCTAGTCCTGCATGAGATTGATTCCATATCAGCTCATATCACTTCTGTTTTGATTTTCACCAATATGCTCTTGTTTCTGTTACCACCATGCCTTAAATCAAACTGCAATTACAACTGCATTTACGATCCGCCCACCAATGAAGAATGTGGTAAAAGTGAACGAACAAGAGCCAAGAGCTTAGAACTCTTACCTCCGTACATTAACGTCATGTGGTCTGATTCACCTGTTACAATACCAAATGACTAATAATACACATACAGTCATCGATCTAGTTAATTAAAGATATCTATGAGTACGTCATGCTCCATCATTCGGTAAAATATACAACTGGTGATTTATGTTTCGACAATACTAATGTTAATATTATTATTATTCATAATAGTAATAGCGAAATGCTGTACCATCCACTCAGATCATCGGAAACCAAATCAACTGAAGGCAAGCAATTACTCGCGGCACTTAATTGAAACAAAAGTGTTCGTAAGTACTGCACTGAGGGTTGCAAACTGGGATCAAATAAAACGAAGTGGTTCCACTATGAAGACTGAATTACCTGTTAAGCTTAGGAAATCTCCCGTCCTCGCAGCCTCGATCAAGGAATGATCCAATCCAGCGGTTGCAAGTACGTTCGCCAGTTGTTCACCGTCCTTGAGATTTGCTACTTCCATCAATTTCTTAAGTCCTTCTGTACTGCCACCGGCGATTTCAATGAGCAATTGAAGCGCTTCGGAACCACCTCCAGTTGCGGCAAGGATAGTCGCTAGTCCATCAGCCCCACCACCAGCCGCCTTCAGCAGTATTTCAATGGCATTTGTACTGTCACCCAAAACTGCTAGCAAACTCTGAAGTCCTACAATTGAATCGCCGCCAGGTCCTGCAGCAGCTTTCAATAGGTTCTGTAAACCCTCCGTTCCACCACCGCCAGCTTCAATTAGGCGCTTTAAAATATCTGCTTGAATGTCCGGATCATTTGCTCCCATAGAAGCAGCTGCCGCGGCAGCTAGTAAAGTAGCCAATCCCTGCTCACCACCACCTGCGGCTCCAATCAAAGCTGTCAATCCATCGACTCCTCCTCCAGCGGCGGCGATCAAGGCAGTGAGACCATCTCCATTCTCTGCAATATTATTTGCAGCCTTTAACAATGCCTGTAGCCCTTTTTCTCCACCACCTGCAGCGGCAATTAAAGCGGACAAAGCTTGTTCTCCATCACCGAGGCCCGCAAGTAGATTAGCCAAGCCGTTACCAGACTCATCTGCCGCTGCCTTCATCAGGGCTGATAGACCCAT